GAGCTGCAATCCCGAGCTGCTAGTGATCAGCCATCTTGGATCTCTCTCTCTGAGATCCTACCCCTAATTTCCTAAAGCCAGAGCCAAGAAAAAACACCAAGAGGAATATGTTATTCTTTTCCGCATAAGGCCTTTTCATGAAAACAGCACGGGTGACATCAGGACCAGAATCTTATTCTAGTCTGTGTTGCTTGAAAAACATATGCCTTTGTAGATGTTTTCCTTTACTGTCAATAATGCCAAACCACAGAAATGATTTTTTTTATTCTATTTTGGCCTCCTTAAGATTACACATACCATTACAAATTGTGATTGTTTTGTAGTTAAATCTATTCCTGAAACATTTCAGATATAAACTGATAGACCTATTACTTGTTCTGTTTTATGCTTTGACTAGTTCTACCTTCACGTTGCTTTACTGGTGCCTGTTGCAAGCCTCTCTCTCAAATAAAAATGTAATCTCTTGCCTTATTTTCTTCTATCCCAAATTGTATCAGTTTGATTTTTATATAAGCTTTTTTGTTTTACTTTTAACATATTTTCCAGAAATAATAAATGCATAGAGAATGCTACAGAAATAGCATGATTCAAGTTCATGTACAGTATAATGCCTGTCAATCATCTATATCAACATTTCTGTTCTCAAAATATGGTTTCAATTTGGGCATTTGTTTTTGTAATCATTTCTACTGTCTTTATTAGATGATCTTAGTCTATCAAAGGATGCTTATAGAAAACCAGCATAGTTTTGGGAATCAGACGGCCAGGTTTATCAAATGAAATTATAGGATTCCCAGTTGAAGTTGAATTTCAGATAGTGAATAATTTTTTAGTATCAATATATCCTAAATATTACATTAATTTTTTCCTGTTTTAATATGTTCCAAATATTATATGAGACATACTTCTATAACAGAAGTATTCACAGTTTATCAGAAATTTAACTTTAACTGAGAAACCTGTATTTTATCTGGCAACTCTATTTGGTAGGCATCATGATAGTGAAAATGAACATAGATGCTAATGCCAAAAAATCCGAGGTGGCTGTGCTACTTAAGCTGTGTAGCTTTGGGTGTGTCACTTAGCCTACCTGAACCTAAATTTCATGTATAAAATGGAACAAATAATACCTACTTTGCAGGTTTTCTATAAAGATCCCAAAGTATGTTTTTAAGACGAGCTGTTATATGTTTAAAATACTGGATACATAATAGATTTACATTAAAGAGTAGCTGTTATTATCAGAACAAAGAAGTACAAATGCAAGCAACCGGTTGTTTTTTTCCCTCCATCTTTATAGTGAGGATCCCTAATGGCAGCACTTAGCATCTAAACAACCCATTAGACTGATAATACAATAGTCCTCCCAGATCTTGGTGACTGTTTACCAAATCAGAGATTTGACCACTAATAAAATATATTCAGGCCGGGCGCGGTGGCTCAAGCCTGTAATCCCAGCACTTTGGGAGGCCGAGGCGGGTGGATCACCTGAGGCCAGGAGCTTGAGACCAGCCTGGCCAACCTGGTGAAACCCCGTCTCTACTAAAAATACAAAAAATTAGCTGGGCATGGTTGTGCATGCCTGTAATCCCAGCTCCTCAGGAGGCTGAGGCAGGAGAATTGCCTGAACCCAGGAGGCGGAGGTTGCGGTGAGCCGAGATCGCGCCATTGCACTCCAGCCTGGGTAACAAGAGTGAAACTCCATCTCAAAAAAAAATAAATAAATAAAATAAAATAAAATATATTCAAGCATTAGCCTCCTTTTTCTCCTCTGCTACTTGCCTCTTTTCATGTTACTTACCAAACATCATATAGCTTGTTAGTATCAGGGCCTGAATATGTGATGCCTTTTTACATCGTTTTTTTTCTTCTTGAGTTACAATTTTACTTCCATCCTGTCTTTCTTAGACATCTATTTATTAATGTGATTAATTTCTATTGAGATAATTTACATACCATAAAATTCACCATTGTAGTGTATATAATTCAGTGGTTTGGCTGGGCACAGTGGCTCACGCCTGTTATCCCAGCACTTTGGGAGGCTGAGGCAGGTGGATCATGAGGTCAGGAGTTCAAGAGCAGCCTGACCAACATAGTGAAACCCTGTCTCTACTAAAAATACAAAAATTAGCCAGGTGTGGTGGCATGTGCCTGTGATCCCAGTTATTCAGGAGGCTGAAGCAGAAGAATTGCTTGAACCTGGGAGGCGGATGTTGCAGTAAGCCGAGATCCTGCCACTGCACTCCAGGCTGGGTGACAGAGTAAGACTCCATCTCAAAAAAAAAAAAAAAAAAAAAAAAGAAATCATTTGTGTTTAGTATATTCATAAGGCTGTGAAACTATCACCACTATCTAATTCCAGAACACTTCCATCACCTTCCCCTCACCATCCACAAAAGAAACTCCATGTTCATTGTCAATTTCTTCTCATTACCCACTCTTTCACCCTCTCACAATCACTAATGTACTTTCTGTCTCTGTGGATTTGCCTATTCCGGACATTACAAATAAATGGAATCATACAATATGTGACCTGTATTTGGCTTCCTTCACTTAGCATGATGTTTTTGAGGTTTATACATGTTTTAGTATCATGTATGATACTAAGCATGTATCAGTATTTCTTTTTATGGTTGAATAATATTCAGTTGTATGGATATATATCACATTTTGCTTATCTATTCATTGATTGATAGACATTTGGGTTGTTTCTACTTTTTGGCTATTAGGAATAATGCTACTAGGAACATTCTTGTACATGTTTTTCCATGAACATCTATTTTCTTTTGGGTAGTATGTATCTAGACGTGGAATTGTTGGATCATAGAATAACTCTATGTTTAGCATTTTGAAGGATTGACAGACTGTTTTCCTAAATGGCCACCGTTTTACATTTACCCTAGCAATGCACAGGAGTTTCCATTTCTTCACATCCTTACTTGGTATTATCTTTTTTTAAATTATTATTTTGAGATTATTGCCCTCCTAGTGGCTGTGAAGTGGTACCTCATTGTGGTTTTGATTTGCATTGCCCCAGTGATTAATGATGTTGAGCATCTTTTCATGTGATTATTGGTTATATGTTTATCTCCTTTGGAGAAATATCAGTTCAAACCCTTTGACCATTTTAATTGGATGATTTGCCTTTTTATTGTCAAGTTTTAAGTGTTCTTTATATATTCTTATGAGACATATGATTTGCAAATATTTCCTACCATTCTGGGTTGTGTCTTCACTTCCTTGACAGTGTTTGTTGACGACCAAAAGTTTTTCATTTTGATGAAGGTTCTTTGTCTATTTTTTGTTGTTGCTTGTGCTTTTGATGTTACATCTACATTTTCTTTTCTTCCTTGTACAATAAAACAAACACTAAACCAGGGTTCCCTTCCAGCCTTGTAATTACATAAATGTGTGACCTTAGGCAAGTACGTAAACTCATTTAGAATTCAGTTTCCACATCTGTAAAAGGAAGGTTGGTTTAACAGAATGGACGCTAATTTTTTGTGAATAAATTATCTTTATAAAATCCCTTACATTAGTAGTTCTCAGCCTGGGGCAAGGTTTTCCTCCAGGTAACATTTGGCAATTTCTGGAAACATTTTTGGTTGTCACAGCTGGAGTAGGATGATACTGGCACCTGGCAGGTAGAGGCCAGGGATGCTGCTAAACATCCCACAGTGCATAGGACAGCTCTTCTAACAAAGAATTATCTAGCCCAAGGTGGCAGTAGTGCTGAGGTTGAGAAACCCTGCTTTAAAATTATGATTCTTGTATGCCAGTTTATTTTAAGTGGTGGTCTTTGAGTTCGTCTATAACAGCCAGGTACTTCTGTGCTCCTAGCCTATTGCTATGGAGTCTAAGAGCACAAAAACAATCACTGGAGAAAGAGGAGGTACCAGTGAAAGTAAAATCATTTAGATTTTGTAGGAATAAATCAATTCTTACACGTAAGGAGAATTTTGAAAGGGATTTTAAGGCTATTGTAAACTACTGTGTCTTTTACATAAAGAAAAAATTATTTCAACGTAAACCCCTCCAGGCAAAGCCTTGTAGACATATTCTTGTTACTGAGTCTTTTTCTTTAGGATATCCGGAACAAAATAGTTTTTGTGAAATAGTTTGTACGTGCTATGAAGCATAGTTAATCAATCATAATAGAAAAAAAAAAACACAGCAACTTGATGGAAGGAACTTGTAGTTAATATGTCTCTGCATTCGTGATTTATCTGAACTCAAAGGAAGTTGATATTCCAGCTGATCGCATTAATTCAGCTTTCTCTAATGCCATTACTGGAATGTACTCATTCCCTTGAGTTCCACAAATAATCTATCCAAAATAAAACAGACAATAGCTTGAAATATGTTTCAGCATTTCTAAATATTTTGGCATGTAAAAAGCTGTCAAATTTGAAGGTATTTCTTTTCTGTGATAATGCTGCTGATTGTTTCATATCCTGCATGATTAGATGTCATCGTTAGCACCGGTACCAGGATGACCATCACCATCAGACAAATTCCTTGATTATCATATATCAGGATCTGTTCTAAGCACTTTATGTTTATACCATTTTTCCTCACAAAAAAATCCTATGAGGTAGTTTTTTTTTTTTATCTCAATTTTGCAGATAACAGAAAAGTACACAATAAAAGGGGTAAAATACCTGCTGAATCATGTTTACTTACTAAGTCCTCTCTTTTGTGTCAAACTATTTCATATTTTAATAATAGATAAAGTATGTTTATTATTAAATCTGTAACATTGATGTCCTTAATTTTCTGGCACCCTAGATAATGGCAATTTAAGACTGAGTTATTTCTAAATCTTTTTTCAAAAAGAGATATCTTACAATTAATTGTCTCTCTCAAAAGTGTATGTATACATCTTCAGGCTGCTGTAATACCTTCCCATCTTGGCATATTTATATAATTTTAAAGCTGTGCAACTTCTCCATTATATAAGTAATGGAAAGATTTTTGTTTAACTTTGTTTATGTGTATAGGAAGCAGTGAGAGAAAACAATAAGAGAAGAGAAATGGAAGAGAAGACCAGGAGGGCAAAACTTGCAAAAGAAAAAGCTGAGCAAGAAAAGTTAGAACGCCAGAAGAAAAAGAAACAACTCATTGATATCAACAAAGGTATGAAAATATTTCCAATTTTTACAAAAATGCATAAGGTGCAAAAGAATTGGCAGTTATTTATTTTTGGATTATAAAGTAAAATTTCATAGAAAATTTACAATAGTATTAGTTACTTGTGCCAAATTTCTCTCATGATGCTATCTGTATTTCGTATCTCCCTACATTGAGCATTCAGGATTTTTGATAATGCAAGATGATATTTTGTTGAGAAAATGTTTTTCTCCCTACTTTTCTTACCATAGTATATCATATTCTGAATGAGGCAGTGGGGAGGAAAGAAGAGGGTGAGATGAAATGTTAAACATGGGTATGGGGAGATGAGGCTCACCGTTATTTTGTTGGCACGTGTCTGTTGACAGTACAGTAACAATTAATAGTCTTTTTTGGAGGCTTGTACATTTCAAATCCTAAGAGATATTGACAGCACTTTTGCAAGTTGAATAAAATGGGGAAAGACATTTTGCACAGCTGTGAACCTAAGTGCAAAATGCTGGCATGTTCATAGAGTTTCAAAGTAAGTTCTTTGAGGCCAGGCACAGTGGCTCATACCTGTAATCCCAGCATTTTGGGAGACCAAGACAGGAGGTTTGCTTGAGGTCAGGAGTTCAAGATCAGCCTGGCCAACATGGTAAAACCCTGTCTCTACAAAACATATAAAAATTAGCCAGGCATGGTGGCAAGCACATATAATTCCAGCTGTCTGGGAGGCTGAGGTGAGAGGATCACTTGAAACTGGGGGGGCGGAGGTTACAGTGAGCCAAGCGGCACTCCAGCCTGGGCAACAGAGCAAGACTCCAGCTCAAAAAAAGAATAAATAAATAAATAAAGTAAGCAAGTAAGTTATTTTATTGGTTAGCAAGAGTGATTGTATGTTGTTGGTGAGTTGTTTAGTTTGGTTGGTTTGCTTTCTAAAGAAGACAGGGCAAAAGAAGAAAGTGATTTGATTGGTATCAGGTATCTTCACACTGAAAATTTAAGAGTAAAAAAGCACACATAGTCTTTGTCACCTGAGGTTTAGAGAACTTAAGATCAAAACAAAACAAAATCGGAACAAGATACAAGGTAATGTGATTAATATGGACCATATATTACTGAAGATAACAGTAGTAAAAATTGCAAGCACTCTAAAATATCAACCATATGACAAGCATGATTGTAAGACTCTTATATATTTTAAGTTAATCCTCACAACATCTCTATGAGGTAGGTGATATTATTATCTCATTTTACAGATAGAAAATGGAGGCTCGTAGAAATTAAGGAGCTTGCCCAAGGTCTCACAAATAGGAAGTACTAGCACCAAGATTAGAATCCAAGTTGTTTACCTATGCCACTGTCAGAAGAAAATGATAACAACAACAACTAACATATAGCACTTGCTATTTACCAAGAACTGTTCTAGGAATTTTATATTTAGGAACCAATTTAATTCTCATAGAACCCTATTGGGAAAGCACTACGATCTAATTTTAAAATGACAGCACTGAGGCACAGAGAAGTTAAGTAACCTGCCCAAGGTCACAATGATAGTAAGAGGTAGAACCAAGATTTGAACCTAGGCATTATGTAACCAGAGTTAATTTTTAGGTGTTTTTAAGTATAATTATTATAACAGTCATTGGCAAGCATTTTTACAGCAGTGTCTCTCAATGGCTAATCTTCTAAAGTAATATCCATACCATTAAGTTTAGTCTTCATACTTTTAAAATAAATAAAAATTTTCAGGAATTGACTGTACTTTAACACCCAGAAAACCCATATAACATAATTTATTATTATTATTATTATTTTTTTTTTTTTGAAATGGAGTCTCATTCTGTCTCCTAGCTGGAGTGCAGTGGCGTGATCTCAGCTCACTGCAACCTCCACCTCCTGGGTTCAAGCGATCCTCCTGCCTCAGTCCCCCGTGTAGCTGGGACTACAGGTGTGCACCACCACACCCAGCTAATTTTTGTGTTTTTAGTAGAGACAAGGTTTCACCATGTTGGCCAGGATGGTCCCGATCTCTTGACCTCATGATCCTCCCACCTGTGCTGGGATTACGTGAGTCAGCACACCAGGCTCCACATAATTTTAACAGAAGAAAAACAGTAATATTATGTAAAAAGCTGGGTTAGGATAGTATCAAGTGATTTAGCAAAGTCTTTATAATTAGAACCAGGAAAACTGGTCATGACTGAGGTCCCTCTGTCAAGAGGTAAGTACTAGAATACAGCATGGCAATATGGATTTCTAGGAAGTTATCATTGAAAAGGTGAAGAAGTCAGTAGAAAACTTCTGAAAGTTAGCTCCCTTATGTGCAAGGAAGAGTAGCTGGAGAAGAGGCCGGAAGACATACTAGGGGACAGATTGTGAGCTTTCTTTTCTGGTATGCCAAGGGTCTTACCCTGAAAGCTGTGGGAAGCCTGTGAATGTTTATAAACTGGAAATTGATGCACATACTCAGGTTTCTTAGATCTTTTTTTTCTGAGACAGAGTCTCACTCTTTTGCCCAGGCTGGAGTACAATGGCATGACCTCAGCTCACTGCAACCTCCACCCCCCAGGTTCAAGCGATTCTCCTGCCTCAGCCTCCCAAGTAGCTGGGATTACAGGTTGCACCACCATGCCCAGTTCATTTTTATATTTTTCGTAGAGACAGGGTTTCACCATGTTGGCCAAGCTGGTCTCGAACTCCTGGCCTCAAGTGACCTGCCTGCCTTGACCTCCCAGAGTGCTGGGATTATAGGCATGAGCCACCACACCCTGCCAGAAAGATCATTTTGACAGAAGCAGAAAGAACATGTTGGAAAGGGAAAGCGTAAGAAAATAGAGGTTATGAGGATATTGTCATAGTCCTGACAAGAGATGATGGTGGCCTGTACTAATACAGTGACAGTGAGACTTGAAAGCAACAAGAGGTGTATTAGTCAGAGTTCGTTTGAGAAACAGAACTAGTAAGATGTGTGTATACATACATGCATGCACACACACACACAGATTTGTTTTATAGAATTGGCTCAAGTGATGATAGAAGCTGGCAGGTTTAAAATGTGTAAGGCAGAACAACAGGCAAGAGACCCAGGGGAAAGCCAATGTTACAGTTCAAGTCTGAAAACCATCTGCTGCAGAATTCTCTCTTGCTTGGGGCATGTCAGTCTTTTTGTTCTAGTCAGGCCCTCAGCTGATTTGATGAGACCCACCTACATCATGGGGTACAAACTGCTTTACTCAAAGTTCACTGATTTAAATGTTGATCTCATCCAAAAACACCCTCACAGAAACATCCAAAATGATGTTTGACCAAATATTTCGACATGTGGCCCAGCCAAGTTGACATATAAAATTAACCATCATGAGAGGGTGTTAAAGGATAGAATTGACAGGTGCTGATGATTGATCAGATGTGTAAATCAAAGGAGGCAAGTATTAAAGAAGATGGTACGCTTCACAGGGAAAGCAAATTCAGAAATAGAGCAGATTTTCTCAGGAGAGTTACAATGACTGGTATCATTTTAAATATGTTTAGTTTTTAGATATCTTGTAAAGATGGAAAATGTCTAAGAAGCCATTGTATATGTGATTGTGAAACTCAGGAAAGACGTCTAAACTAACCATATTGGCTTGGGGATCATCGGTTTTTATTTGAAGATTGAAGTTACAGTGTACTAGTTGGCCACGGCTGCCATAAGAAAATGCCGCAAGCTAGGTGGCTTAGAACAACAGATATATGTTGTCTGACAGTTCTGGAGGCTAGAAATCCAAGATCAAGGTGTCAGCAGGGTTATGCTCCTTTTGAAGAGGCTGTAGTAGGATCTGTGCCAGGCCCTTCTCCTAGATTCTAGTAGTTCCTTGCTTTGTCGCAGCATAACTTCAACTTTCTCATGGCATCCTCTCTGTGTGCCTATCTGTCTTTTCACATGGTGTTTTTTATTTTATTTTATTATTATTATTATTTTTGAGACAGAATCTCACTCTATTGCTCAGGCTAGAGTGCAGTGGTGCAATCTCGGCTCACTGCAACCTCTGCTTCCTGTGTTCAAGTGATTATCCTGCCTCAGCCTACCGAGTAGCTGGGACCACAGGTGCCTGTCACCACACCCGGCTAATTTTTGTTTTTTTAGTAGAGATGGGGTTTCACCATCTTGGCCAGGCTGGTCTTGAACTCCCGACCTCATGATCCGCCTGCCTCAGTCTCCTAAAGTGCTGGGATTACAGGCATGAACCACCTTGCCTGGCCATGGTGTTTGTTTTATAAAAATACCAGTGATATAGAATCAGAGGCCTACCCTACTCCAGTATAACTGCCTCTTAATTATTTTTTATTTTATTTCTTTAGAGATGGGATCTCACTCTGTCACCCAGGCTGGAGTACAGAGATGTAATCATAGCTCACTGTACCCTCAAACTCCTAGGCAGAAGCAATCCTCCTTCCTCAGCCTCCCATGTAGCTGGGGTTGTAGGTGTATACTACCATGCCCAGCTGCTCTTTCTTTCCAGTTTTTTTTTCTCTTACAATAAATATTTTGTAATGATCACCTGTTAATTACATAGTTCAACTTATAGCATGTGTTTGAGTGAAATCACCAGGGTAAAGTATAAATAAGAGGTTCTGAAACTATTTGGTCTCAGAACTCATTTACACTAAAAATCGAGGACCCCAAATTCCTTTTGCTTATGTAAGTTGTTTATATTAACATTTATCGTATTAAAGTTAAACCTGAGATAATTTTAAAATTATTGATTGATTCAATTAAATAACAATAGTAAACCTTTTCATGTTAAAATACATAACCTTTTAAATGAAAACTACCGGTATTCTCCAAAACAAAAAAATAATTAGAAGAGAAAAAAATTAGTGTCATCAACCTCTTCACAATCGCAGTAAGACAGCTTGGTTCTCATACCTACTTTTCCATTCAATCTGATTCAATATCATTCCTCATGTAACTTCTGGAAAACTCCACGATATACTCAGGAAAGAATGAGAAATAGAAAGCCAAAACATTGTCAGTATTA